AATGGTTTTCAATACCCAATCTAAATTGAAGACATTGCAAAGCTCCATCCATGTTGGCAGAGGGTACTCATTGTCAAGAAGGCGTGCAATTTTTATTCAATTGTGCTACATGTAGATGATGACTTAAATAATGGTTTACATGATGTAGTAAAATTTCAAACAAATAAAAAATACTTAATCATTTTTTTGACACATCATCTGTATGTAAACCATTATGTAACTCCATTATATACGAGTGATATGAGTGATATAATTGATTTCAACTATAAATAGGTCAATAGATAAATGGCTTATATGAGTGATATAATTGATTTCAACTATAAATAGGTCAATAGATAAATGGCTTATATGAGTGAATTCCATAAATTATGTGAACAAAAAGCAGATTCGACCAAAAGTGATTTTGAAAAAACACCTACCAAACATGCTTCAAGTATGACTTAGACCTTGTTTGGGCTCCATTATTTCAAAAATGTATTTTTCTCTTTTACTTTCAACAATACATTCTCCAAAAAAATCACTATTTCAAAATATATTTTTTTCAAAATTTGTTTTTAATGGACCCCAAAGATGGGCTTGACACTACAGGGGGTTAGGGAGTAAAGCTCAGGACTGCACACAAGCCCATTTAATTTATTTTTTACCCCTTGTGTATTAGCCTATTAGGCCTTGTTTGATTGGGCTAGAATTCCATGGAAAATGGAAAAGTGATTCCATTTCCATCCAAAAGTAGTGTTTGATGTCCACATTTTTCCATGTCAAATGTGGAAAAAATTCTCCCCTCACGTGCCATTTCTAACCGTGAGGAGAAAAGGTTTTTCCACCTTTTAGGTGGGAAAATCGAATTCTGACTTTTTTTTTTTTGCAATGAAAACAAATTTTATAACCAATTGTGGAAAAAATTATCACTTTAATGGACAATTTTCATGCAAACGAAGACCAAACGAACACAAAATTTAAAAAAATTTCAGGGTGAAAAATTATACCAATAAAACACACTATTTTTTTTTGACAATGAAAATAAATTTTATAACCAATTGTAAAAAAAAAATTCGCTTTAATGGACAATTTTCATATAAAATAATGTCAAATGAACACTAAACTTTGATAAACAAATAATTTTTTACTTGTAAATTTTTTTTTTTTTTTTTTTACTTTTTGGCAATTGAAACAAATTTTATAACGAATTATGAAAAAAATTATCACTTTAATAGACAATTTTCATATAAACACAAAGTCAAACAAACACAAAATTTAAAATTTTTCCAGGTGGAAAATTATACCAATCAAACACACTTAATTAACAATTCCCTGAAAAACGATTTTCTAAACATCATTTTTTTTACATCCATTTTCCACCATTGCAATCAAATGGACCCTTAGAAAAAAAAATTTTACTCCTCCTGGCCTCGCCCCTAGGACAATTTCAACTTTGTGTATCCTATCGGATTTGATGTCGAGATTATTGAATATGTAGTCCGAGTCACATTAAAATTTTCATTTTCATTCTTCTGCTCATTTTAAACCACACATTTTTCAATAAAATAATATTTTCCATCAGAACGATAACATTTCCTTCTTTTTCAACGACACATTCTCCATCAATCTATTATTCCAAAATACATTCTTCCAAAATAATGTGGTTCAAACACATTGTATTCTACTTTTTTTATCCCAACCGTAAATACATTAGAGTCTTGTTTGATACACCTTCTTTAAAATTCATTTTTAGCTATACATTATTCTAATAACAATAAATCTGCATGATTTTTCTTTACTTTTTCAATCATGCATTCTTAGAAAAAAATTATTTTTCACAAAATCTATTATCGAATAATCTATACATCAAACAAGCCTTAAGTAGAGTGCTGAACTTGAGTATTTTTTGTTTTGAAATAACAAATATTAATTTTCATTTGCTTATGTTATGCATGTTTGGCTAAGCTTCAAAAGTTTACTTTCAAGTAAATAAGTGAATGTTAAAATATATCACTTTTTTAATCAAAAGTAAAAAATAAGTAAGTAGGCATTATTTTAAATTAATTTTTTTTTTCGGGTTTAGCCAACGTGTAAGCTCTATTTATGCCCATTGAAGCTGAGATTAAAGAATTCCTCCAGAATTCTGTCGCTTTACAATGAATATTTGTCTTCAGATATGGATACAAAGTTAATATGAAATTGCCAATCATCGGCTCATAGGTGTTTCCATAATTCTATTTTGTATCGTTGATGTGGACAACATATATCAGGTCCATTCACGTCCACGTAAGATAATTCCAACACACTTGAACAAATTACTAGTTGACAATGTTTTGGGTTTGGGTGAGGGGGGAAGCTTTGCAACACGATCGCATTATATACCGTTGACGTGGACAACACTATTTTCAATTCTTAACTTTAGATACTTGACCTCGATTGTGACTTCTTATGTCAGGATGTCACATTTTAAATTTATCTCATTTTTAATAAAACATTGCATCAATTCAATCATGTTAATATTTGTGGTAAGACACACAAAATTAAAAAGAATAAAAAAAAAATTCTAAACCTTTTTGTGCTCCTAATTAGTGCTATTTATGTAAACTTCGTTTTACATTTCAATTATTGTGATCAAAACTTAATAAGCTGGAGAAGTTAGACTTAATATAATGAAGTAAACTTTCATCAAGTATGATGGAATAAAATTTTATTATATTAAAAATATATAATACGAAATTAGAGGGAAAAATCAGTCTTTTAACTCTCTTCAAAGAGCCAAACTCCGTAAATTGCGGTGCAGAGTATTTTTTCTATGCAAGTTGTATTTTGTTCTCCTTGACCAAAATTTTCTCTCTTATTAGCAGGCTTCCTTCGACGAGTCGAGCATAGTCATGAATACTCTTATGCCCCGTTTGATATTGCACTTTTTCCATGAAAAATGGAAAATAATTTCCATTTCCAACAAAAAGCCTTGTTTGATAGGCACAAAATTCTTGGGAATGGATTTTCCACTCAAGGCTTCACGCGCCCCCATTTTCCACATTTTGAGGAATTTGATTTCCCACTAAAATGATGGAAAATCTAATTCCAGGTTTTTTTTTTTTTTTTTGGCAATGGAAACAAATTTCATACCCAATTATAAAAAAAAATCACTTTAATGGACAATTTTCATGTAAAACAAAGATAAACGAACACTAAACTTTGATTAAAAAAATGATTTTTTAGGGGAAAAAATTGCGTTTTGTTTTTTTACTTTTTGGCAATGGAAACAAATATTATAGCAAATTGTGGAAAGAATTATCACTTTAATGAACAATTTACATTTAAAATAAAGTCAAACGAACACAAAATTTTAAAATTTCATGGTGTAAAATTATACGAAACAAATACACTTAATTAACAATTCCCTACAAAACAATTTCTAGGCAATTATTTTCGCTAAAATTCATTTTCTTTCCACCCATTTTGCACCCTTACAATCAAACGAATCCTTATTGAACTTGAAAATTTCCATTAAGTGGTCTATTTATTCTTATATATGGCATGCCTTCTATGGTTATCTCAATCCCAACAAGCGGAGTTTTAAAGAAGAGCAAAAAAAATTTGTGTATGGATACAACTTAAATAATACATTTCTTCAAGATTGAGTAAGATATGATTGACATCAAAATGCCTTGTACTAGAGCTACATTAGGGGATGTGTATAGAGGACATAGAGTCATACTCGCTATAAAAAGATTTCACATTCCGCACAAACATCTTCCTTGTCATACTAGATTTGAGATTCAATGAAATTTCGAAATTGATTTCTAATAGCACTCGAGCATGAAATGAAACCATTTTCACATTTTTGTAACTTTCTAATCATTTTTTTTCCATTTCACCTTTATTATTTTATGTTTTAAACTAAGTCTTTACTCAAGCGAATGGTAACGATTAAAATATGTTTTTTTTTAAGAGCAATTAAAAGTCATAATTATTGCGTGCAATTCACAATTTGTTTATTTTGAACCACAAAAAGTAGTGAGTCCAGATACTTATAAGCACTCCCAAACATGTTCTAAACTATTTTTTCTTTACATACAATCACATATTTTTCAATAAAATAATATTTTCCATCACATCAATAACTTTTCTTTCTTTTTTAACCACATATTCCCCATCACATCAACAGTAAAAATGCATTCTTACCTTCAAAATGTGCACCAAACGAGGGCAAAATGGTGGGAAATCCGATTCCAGATTTTTTTTTTCGTGCAATGGAAACAAATTTCATAACTAATTATAAAAAAAAATTCACTTTAATGGACAATTTTCATATAAAACAAAACTAAATGAACGCTAAACTTTGATTAAAAAAATGATTTTTTAGGGAAAAAAATTTCTTTTTTTTTTTTTTTTAATTGTTGGCAATTGAAACAAATTTTATAACCAAATGTGGAAAAAAAATATCACTTTAATGGATAATTTAATTTTAAANAATTTTATAGCCAATTGTAGAAAGAATTATCACTTTAATGAACAATTTGCATGTAAAACAAAGCCAAACGGACACAAAATTTTAAAATTTTCCTGGTGGAAAATTATACTAAGCAAACACACTTAATTAACAATTCCCTGCAAAACAATTTCTAGGCAATTACTTTCCTTGAAATTCATTTTCTTTCCACCAATTTTCCACCCTTGCAATCAAACGAATCCTTACTGAACTTGAAAATTTCCATATCTGGCATGCCTTCGATGATTAGCTCAATCCCAACAAGCGGAGTTTTAAAGAAGAGCAAAAAAAATTTGTGTATGGATACAACTTAAATAATACATTTCTTCAAGATCGAGTAAGATATGATTGACATCAAAATGCCTTGTACTAGAGCCACATTAGGGGATGTGTATAGGGGACATAGAGTCATACTCGCTATAAAAAGATTTCACATTCCACACAACATCTAAGGTAAATAGGTCTTTAGCTACGGCTCATTCTAAATAGTCTCAAACACTCTCAAGGTAACCATAGCTAAATAATGAAAACCAAAAGAACTAACCTTCAGGTCAGTACATTTACACGTAACAACAAACAAAGAAGAAGAATTCGATAGTTTTCATTTTCTAGATATGACTGTGCTAAATTATCAACTATTTCGAACAAATCTTCCTTGTCATACTAGATTTGAGATTCAATGAAATTTCGAAATTGATTTCTAATAGCAGTCGAGAATGAAATGAAACCATTTTCACATTTTTTAACTTTCTAATCATTTTTTTTTCCATTTCACCTTTATTATTTTATGTTTTAAACTAAGTCTTTACTCAAGCGAATGGTAACGATTAAAATATGTTTTTTTTAAAGCAAGTAAAAGTCATAACTATTGCGTGCAATTCACAATCTGTTTATTTTGAACCACAAAAAGTAGTGAGTCCAGATACTTATAAGTACTTCCAAACACGTTCTAAACTATTTTTTCTTTACATGTGCTAAACTATTTTTACCCCAAGTCGTCTTCTTTCTACTTATCTACACTGTAAAGTTTGAGAAATTACATAGAGGAATTGGCAAAAACAAAGAAATCCAATAACCAGTGAGAACGGGGTGCTAAAAACGTACAAAAGTCGCAAGTCATTAATTACGACTTCTCACACGCTTCTCAGCGATCACAAAGAGCATCAAAGTCAATTTCTTTGGTTCCTTTCTTCCTTCTCTGGCAGTCAAGTCTTGATTTGCATATGCAAGCTCCACCAGTGAAATTCAAAAAGAAAGAAGCCAAGAAATTATTAAGAGAAAAATATGATGAAAAAAAATATTTATTTGACCCGAAGAACATGAATGAATAATATGTCACCATTTATAATCCTTCCGTCTCCTCCCAGATTTCCACTGGAAATCAAAATTCAACCGTTCACACACCCTGGTAACTTTCTTTTTCTCTCTTGCAGGCTTTTCTATTGTTGTTTCTATGTGAGCTGAATATTTCAATTTATGTATGTGTAATCTGTGAGTTCTTTATTGTGTATTACTATATTTTCTGGTGGCTTTCTATATCTTAAACGAAGACTTCTTTTATTGAGTTTGTGTGGTAGTTATGAACAGGGTTCTTGATTTTAGGACTCTTTTGGGGTTTTGATGGAATTTGGTGGTACCACAGGTGGGCTTCTTTGATTTAATTTTTTTATTAGCTGGGTTATGTGAATTTTAGGACCGTATAATTGGGTAAATTGAAGTGGTTTTGATCTTGATCCTTTCTTACTAATCTCATGATTTTTTAGAAGGAAGGAGTTTTGAATATTCATATCTTTTGCTTGGTCTCTGTGAAATCATTTTGAAATTCTGTCTTCGCATGTTTTTCATCATTATCTATATGTTTATTTTTTCTGTCGATTGGGATTTTTTATTGTTAAATGAGTAATTCAATCAAATAAATGATTAATTGTCCTTCTATAATAGATTACTGATTAATTAACTAGCTATAAATTTTATACGATTGGTGTTACCTTGCTTGAAACTCCTTTCATTCAAGTGTTTATATAGATGATTTAACATCTTTTTTAACTTTGTGAATTTTCTTTATATCAAACTTGCCTTGCCTCGTCCATATGTTCTCCTTGCAGTATTTGTGGTTTAGATTTCTCTGCATCTCCTTTTTAATTGTTGTCCATAGTTATTGGATGACAGTTTACTTTGTCATTCTAATTATCTTGTTTCCTCAGCCAAAAGACTTTTTCAGGATGTTATGTTGAACACGAAACATGTTTACATTGAAATTTGAATTTGTTTCAGGGATCAAACTTATGACAACTGTTACTTGGTGCTTAGTTTAACAATCATCTTCAGTAGGTTTATACACTCGGGTTTTTTGTTTCGGATTATGGCTGCTTTCTGCTTGAGGGCAAAATTTGATTTTAGAGCTCTCTCAACTATTATTAGAATTTTTCTTTTGTTGATTGTGAGAGGATCTCTTACCTACTCGGATCAGAGTGATGTTGACTGCCTCAGAGCAATAAAAGGTTCTATGGAAGACACATTGAATTACATCAATTCATCATGGAACTTTGATAGCAGCACTAAGGAAGGTTTTATTTGTAAGTTTATTGGGATCGATTGTTGGCATGAGGATGAGAACAGGGTTTTGAATATTAAGCTGGGGGACATGGGACTTAAGGGTGAGTTTCCTCTTGGTGTTGCTAAGTGTTCATCCTTGACAGGCTTAGATCTTTCTAATAACAAGATTTATGGTAATATTCCAAACAATATCTCTAAATTACTTGGATATGTGACAACCCTTGATCTCTCGTCCAACCAGTTATCTGGAGAGATACCACCGAATCTTGCAAATTGCACTTATTTGAACGTCCTTAGACTTGACAACAACCAGTTGATGGGTCGAATCCCTCCTCAGATTGGTCAACTTGGTCGAATAAAGACATTTAGCGTGTCAAATAACCGACTGTCGGGCCCAGTCCCCCAGTTTAAAAATGTTACAATTCTGGCCGACAGTTATTCGAATAATGCAGGACTATGTGACAGTCCGTTGCCTCCTTGTCAAGGTTCTTCAAAGAAAACTAATAGTGCTGCCATTGTTGGGGCAGCTGTTGGTGGAGTGACCGTTGCAGCTTTGGCTGTTGTCATTGGCATGTTCTTCTATTCCCGTAAGGTGTCCAGAAAGAAGAAGGAAGAAGATCCTTTGGGCAACAAATGGACAAAGAGTATCAAGGATGCCAAAGGCATCAAGGCAAGATACATTTTCATTTTGTTGGAATTTCTTCTCCTAACATATATAAATTATTGTGAAATTTGTAGCCACAGTCCTCAAACTTTAGCAAATAAAGCATATGGGTCCCATTCAAATTTTTCTTGTCTTATGCCCTGAACTTTTATTTTCGGTGCACAGTTTTCCCCACAAGATGGATATTCTCAATTTTTTTCTGTCAAACAGTCACATCTTTTGCTTATTTGAGGGTTATTTTCGTTAACTGATTCCGTTTCCTTCAAAAACAATTAAAAATAGGGAAAAAAGATGAAGGTCGAAGGTCAAAGGTCAGCACTCCATTTTTCTCTGTTTCTGTTTGAGGGAAATGAAGCAGGTTGAGAAAAATAGCCCTCAAACACGTCATTGTGGTGCAAAGTATGTGATTGTTTGATGGGAAAATTGACGGTTTCCGTGTGGCCAACATGCACCAAAATCGAAGTTTAAGAACCTAAATGCCAATAGATATTGATTGGGGACCAATGTGCTTTATTTGTCAACGTTTGATGTCCTTGGCTGCAAATTTCATTAAATTTTTTTGTTAAACTTCAGACTTGGTGTCACTTGTGTACATGACCTCTTTTGTGTTTCAGTTATCTTTTCCATACAAGGAATGAATTACTAACAGTCACATTTCCTACTTTCAGCTTTCAATGTTTGAGAAGTCGGTTTCTAAAATGAAATTGGGCGATCTCATGAAGGCGACCAATGACTTCAGTAAAGAGAATATAATTGGGTTAGGAAGAACAGGGACAATGTACAAGGCAGTGCTTCAAGATGGCACATCCCTTATGGTGAAGAGATTGCAGGATATTCAACACTCAGAGAATGAATTTGCATCTGAGATGGCTACTCTAGGAAACGTAAAACACCGCAACTTGGTTCCGCTTTTAGGTTTTTGTATAGCTAAGAATGAAAGACTTTTAGTTTACAAGTACATGCCAAATGGTAGCCTCCACGATAAGCTACATCTTGTGAAAGACGGTAGCAAACATATGGACTGGCCTTTAAGGCTCAAAATTGGTATTCAGGCAGCGAAAGGATTTGCATGGCTCCACCACAGCTGTAATCCACGTATTATTCACCGAAATGTAAGTTCCAACTGCATCTTACTAGATGTGGACTATGAACCCAAAATATCCGATTTCGGCCTTGCTCGGCTCATGAATCCTATTGACACTCATTTGAGTACTTTTGTAAATGGTGAATTCGGGGACTTGGGCTATGTTGCTCCGGAATATGCAAGAACTCTGCTCGCCACTCCTAAAGGGGACGTCTATAGTTTTGGGGTTGTACTTCTCGAATTAGTAACAGGTGAGAGGGCGACCTATGTGGCTAAAGCCCCCGAAAGCTTCAGTGGAAATCTAGTTGAGTGGATTTCTGAGCTCTCTAGATCCTCTAAACTTCATGATGCAATTGATAAGTCCTTGGTCGGGAAAGGTTACGATGGTGAGCTTTTCCAGTTTCTTAAGGTTGCCTGTAGCTGTGTGCTGTCAGCTCCCAAAGAGAGGCCTACCATGTTTGAAGTGTACCAGCTTTTGAAAGCTATTGGACAACCGCATAATTTCACAACTGAAGATGACATCTTGTTGCTATCTGATGTAGGAGATGCTGATCAATTAGTCGAACTTATTGTCGCTCGTGATGTATAAGAGATGTATCAAAAATGCAAATGAGATACAGTGGTGAGTGACATCATAATTTGTATGTAATTATTAGTTTTTTGTAACTTATTTAAAAATTGTTACTTTCCTGTATGTGCTTCTTAGATCGGGTAGTCGATTTACCTGGTGAACTTATCAATTACTAAACTATATAGCTTTTATTTTTGTTTCTTAATTTTCCTCGCCCGATTAAGTCGTGGCTTTGTTTTATGTTTTTTTCTTTCATTTTTTTTTTGAGAATAATGATATTTAGTATCATTGGTGTTTAACACCAGTCTATGTGACAACATTAGTGATATTAGATTACAAGATCAATTAAATGAATCACATACGTTCACCTTTAATTGAACACGTTACATAATATCACAAAAATTGGTGCTAGATAGCATTTTTCAATATGTTTTGTAAGAAGTGATTATTTTGGAGAATATGTGATTAAAAAATGACACATTTTTTCTTATTGGTCTGTCAGCTTGGTCGGTGCTACGTGCAAAATTATTTTATTGAGAGAATATGTGGTTGAAAATGGGTGAGTTATAAAGAGTGGGACACAAACAGGGGTAAATTCAGTCAGATGATTAATTTGAAAAAAAAGGGCTTGGCTTAGTTTTTTTTTTTTCAATCGGCATAATCACCTTTGTTTTGCAGTCGAAGTTGTAGCTTGTCCATCGACAGCTGAATGTGTCGACTTGTGTCATTTTTTACCTCAATGTGTTGCGTGCTTGTGCATTTCTTTCTTTAGAGGTGAATATGGTGCTATGGAGGGACGAGGAAACGTTTAACGTGTAATTAAGTATCTCCTGTTCCTGAACTCTTGGAATTAGTATAAAGTTTCATGGACACAAAGTTTGGTCCCTTGATTGACAAAAACAAATACGTATCTCATAAGGGTCAAGAATCTTGACTCGTGACTAAGCTCTAGATTATTGAGAAAAAAATATAGAAGTTTAAGTTGAGTCGAGAAAATTGAAAAAAGAAAATTTTATTTGTTGATATTGATTCTTGATCATATATTGTGATACTCACAAAGAATATTCTCATGTAAGTATAATGTAGCCAACTCGTATATTGCTTCTATTTAATGCTATTTCTAGTTATATTATATAAAGTCGTTATGAGTTGGCATTTTGATAGAAATTCATATGGAACCAAAATAGAACTCAACTGACTTAACGAATTTGTTTAATCCTTGTGAAAAATGAATTGCACCAGATTCTCAAAATCAAGCAAATCATATGGAATCGAAGTTGAATTGAGCTAACTAACCAATTCATTTGAATTCTAGTTTAAAAAAAAAAAATTAATTGCACTTGAGTCTTAAAATTGAGAAGCGAACAATTCTAACCCAATTCTCAATTCTAAGTGTAAAATGGAATTTTAATTCGATTCAAAAATTTTATTTTTTTGTAATATTGATAATAAAATAAGGATTGAATTAATTTTTTAAAATTTAAATGAATTAAATAATGATCAATATTTTTGTAACCCTGATTTTTTTTTTTTGGAAAAAAAAAAACGAAACTAGAAAATTTATGCCACAATTTGCATATTTATATATATTAAATTAAATTCTAATAAGTATTCCTCTTTAAATCAAGTATTCAGTTATGAGATGTTTCCATTGTTTCCATTCCGAACAGGAGTCTCCATTTTAACAAATTGTGTGGATCGAACAAAGAGAAATGCTACAAAGAACTCTTCAAAGCAAATAATCTTGAATCCCACCGTTGGAATCTAGCTAATTGAAAATCATTGGACTATTGAAATCACAAATTAGAAAGTCACAATTGATGGTGGATAACATTGTAGTGTTTTGGATCTTCCTATTTTTGAATTTTTGAAACAGTATTGGAGATCCAATCATGAGTAAATGTGACGGAAATGGAAAAGATCAATTGTTACCTGTGATATTGATCCAATGGCATGTGACTACATCTCTTAGATATGTTACATATGACCTACACACTATGACATTTGACTTTTGAATTGTTACATGTTAAGCATGACTTATAAAATGTTACCAGTGACATTGATTCAATGACCTGTGACCAGCTTTATTGGATTTGTAACCTATGGACATTGACCTGTTATCTATGCAATATGACATGTGACCTATGAACTTTTATCAGTGGCATGTAACATATGAACTGTGACCAGTGAACTTGAATGTGTAACATGATATCAACACACAAGTAATTGTGATATCTGATCTGTGACTAGATAATTTTGTTCCTGACCTGTTGACATTGATATGTGACATGTGACCTATAAAATGTGAAGTGTGAAATGTTATATGTGAACTGTAACATGTGACATGTGAACATAAATCAATAATCTATAATGCGTTCTATTTGATCTATGACTTGCGGATATTGATTAGTGACATGTGCTTTATTCAGTTTATAATCGCACGTGCCCTCCCTTCATCATTGGCAACAAGGTCTGCCACTTGTGCAAACGTGCGACATGTGTCATCATATCTCAACAAATTGCACATTAATTCATAGAGGCGTTCCTGAACTCTTGGAATAAGGTATAAAAAATAGTGGGGAAAAAAAAATGAATTCTCAAAAAAAAACCAAATTGCACATTAATTCATATGAACTGTGACCAGTGAACTTGAATATGTAACATGATATCAACACACAAGTAATTGTGATATCTGATCTGTGACTAGATAATTTTGTTCCTGACCTGTTGACATTGATCTGTGACATATGACCTATAAAGTGTGAAGTGTGAAATGTGATATGTGAACTGTAACATGTGACATGTGAACATAAATCAATAATCTGTAATGCGTTCTATTTGATCTATGACTTGCGGATATTGATTAGTGACATGAGCTTTATTCAGTTTATAATCGCACGTGCCCTCCCTTCATCATTGGCAACAAGGTCTGCCACTTGTGCAAATCACGCTGTACACAGTAGTATAGAGTACTATTGAGGAGAACTAGCCAAACCATTGTAGTTCACTACGACCCTCGCATGTGCTATACTAACATCTCTCATCCATCTCCGAAGTTATACCTTTTTCGAAAGTAAGATGACATTACTATGAATCAATACCGCGATCGCATGATGAAAAACTATTCTCCAAAATTCGAACAAGCAATAGCTGCATGCACTTCACAATTCTCTCTTTCTCAAATGAGACGAAAAATATTTTTTTCTTCTATCGCCCCTCATTCATAATATCCTCTCGTGCCTCGTACCAAAGTTCCCCTTCGAAGTGGATATGAGGTTGCAATAAACATTTCCCATGAACTCATCCCAAGCTTCTCTGAATTGAAATAGTGTAAACTGACTGCAATTGTTGCTCCATTTCATAGTATTGCACATAGTACCATTTGCGAAAATTACTTGAAATCAGCCTGAAATTATTTCTCAACCTTATTTTGTAATGCACGTTCATATTGTTTGACAAACTGCTTCAAGGATGTCTCTGAATGCACATCCGTTGAATTCTTGCACAATCATTGCTTTAATGCACGTTCATGCAAATCAAACGTATCAATCATTGATGCCTAACCTTGTTCAAATTCTTGCACAAATTGCGAATCGTAAACTAATCGGTGTATAGCGCCAAATATTCCAAATTTATCATCGTGGTATCCAAAATTTTAAGGCAACTTCTTCAAATGTGTCACAAACATCATCTATGCTTTGTGTTGGGAAAAACTATCGAAATCATATTTTGCATGACCTTGCCTTGATAGGTAATAATTCCACGAGGTGCGATGCCATGCATACATTGAAGCCATGTACTGAACAACCACACAAAAGTATCCATGTCTTCTTTCAATACCAACCCATAACCAAGTAGTGTAGATTTTTTGGGATGATTAATGCTAACAAATGGAGCGAAAGGCATGTCATACTTGTTTGTGAGGTAACTCGTATCAAACGCAACAAGTCTACAACGATTATCTGCCCAAAATAGATTCTTATGCCCTGATTCATCGTCCAAATCCATGCTAAAGTAAAATCCTAATCATTGTGCTTGCATTTTTGAAAAGTAAGATTATATTGTTGCGACGTCCCCTTCTTCAAGTCTTTATCGCCTTGTTCAATATAATTTCGACAATCATTTTCCATGTAACTCATTTTCTTGCAACCACGTGCTTCTATAACTGCAGAATTGTACTTTTATGCAACGGAATTCCTGCCAAATTATTAACTTGAAGTTTGCATTTTACACGTACACTCAATTCTCGATTGCAGCGATATAACCTAAACTTCGAAAGACCAGTTTCATAATTGTGGTCGAGATGGACTGTGTTAATTCTCTAGACTCCATATATATCGGAAGATGCTGATATCCTTGCTTTACAACCCATCTGAATTGTGGGTTGTGGTTTCAAAGAACCGCTAGTATTACCAATTCTTCAGCCTTTACGGCTACAAGTTAGCTTCACATATCTCATCTCTCAATTGCCCCCCCCTTGAATTCATTTTCTTTACTAGAAAAACAACAGAATTAGCATACTTCTTATAGAAGTCCAACATTTCTTTCACATCCTTAAACTCCATACCTACAGTTGGCACTATCTATTTCTCCCACTGCGGTTTCACCTTGCACTATGTTAACCGTCTGTAACATTCTCATCATCAGATTCCGCTAGAACATCAACATGCTCATTGTGCACTTCCTCCATAATTTCTTCTACTGTGATAACATAAGTGGATACGTTCAGGAATCCATACTAACATAATGATGCACAAGTAATAGTAAAATGATTTTTCACGAACATTATAGTCTTCAGGTTTATTATTCCACAATTTCTTATTCCTCAATATAGTTATTGTTCCTCAATTTATCAAACAAGTTACAGGAAAAAATTGAACACGGTACTATCAACTAAACCCTTGAATCAACCCTAATCTAGGTTTACTACAACGAACATGGTCACTGACATATGAGAAGTAAACAAAATACAAACCACAAGCCATTATCGCTTCTACACATAACCTCAATTCATAGCT